AGTTCTATGTAATTTTTCAGCTGATTTTACTAAGTCATTTGTTATTTGTGATTTTAAAAGTAATACAGTACATGTTCATTTTAGAAGTTTGAAAGTAGTGAGGTGTAAAAAAAATCCTCCATAATCCCAGTACTTAGTTACTATTGGTAAATTTCCAGCTTAAACATTGTTTATGCCATTTTAAGTAGAAATTTTAAGTTATATGGCCTAATTCTGAAACAAAATTTTACCATGAAGTTCCATCATAATAAGGATTTAGCTCTCCTCAATGGAGACTTTTAAGCTATAAACTAAAGAGAAGGCTACAAGTTCTTCCTTTAAACTTGACTATTTTCATCTCACAAGAATGTTAGTAGAAAGTAAGCAGAAGAGTTACAGTATCTCTGTTTTCATAGCCCAATTATACAGAAATCCGACAGTACTGCAATCACTGGAGAAATTTTGGAGACATTTATGATTCTTGGCAAAGTGTAAAGAGTATTTTGGACTGGACCTCTTCTAACCAGCGGACACTTGTTAGTGCTGCAGGACCTGGAGGTTGGAATGACCCAGATATGGTAAGAACCTGAGCCGTCAGTGTTCAAACCCTTGCAGTGGGCCTATTTCCTACTTGACATTCAAGGTAAATTGGAAAGTTCCTTGGAGCAGCGTTTATGTGAGAGTACTCAAAGCAGGGTACCATGGAAAGTGGTTTCTGTGTCTAGATAACTTTAAGAATGTTTGTCTTCTCTCATATGAATTCTAATTTCACTCTTTGTCCCAGTTAGTGATTGGCAACTTTGGCCTCAGCTGGGATCAGCAGATAACTCAGATGGCCCTCTGGGCTATCATGGCAGCTCCATTATTCATGTCCAATGACCTCCGACACATCAGCCTTCAAGCCAAAACTCTCCTACAGAATAAGGATGTAATTGCCATCAACCAGGACCCCTTGGGCAAGCAGGGGTACCTACTTAGAAAGGTATAGTAAATGTTCTCTGGAAGAAAATAGGAATTGGCCAAGAACATGTTCTCCTGCCTTCTAGTTTAAAATTCATCCAAATGGCCCTGCCCAGTTTGGCCCAGTGTCAGCCTGTGAACCAAAGGGTCCCGGGTTTGTTTCAGGTCAAGGGTATGTACCCCGATTGCAGGCACCTCCCCAGCCCAGGCCTTGGTCAGGTGTGTGCAGGAGGCAACCAATCGATGTGTTTCTCTCACATTGATATTTTTCTGTCTTTCCCACTCTCTTCCACGCTCTCTGGAAATCAATGGAAAAATATCCTCGGGTGAGGATTAAAAAAATAATGTTTGTTTGGGTTATGTATTTAAGATGGCTTTATATTCAAATGCCAAGTTTGTCTTGGGCCTAAATCTATTATATATTAAGATATGCACTGATCTTTTGAGAATATATTTTTTAATCTCAATATAATCAGTAATGAAGCTTTTTTGCTACAATCATTACTTTAGTTCCCAAACATGCTACAAGATAATTTTAATTTTTTCTAGAAGTGTTTGGTAGTTCTGACAATAAGACTGAATGCTACAAGGCAGCTTACTGCTAGTTACCAAGCTATCACACCTATTTTCTTGGCTTGCTTTTCAGGAAGATAACATTGAGGTATGGGAACGCCCTCTCTCGAAGTTAGCCTGGGCGGTGGCTGTGGTAAACCTGCAGGAGATTGGTGGACCTCGTTCTTACACCATCAGTCTTGCTTCCCTGGGTCAAGGAGTGGCCTGTAATCCTGCTTGTCATATCACAGAGCTCCTTCCTGTGAAGACAAAACTTGGGTTTTATGAATGGACTTCATTTGTAAAAACTCGAATAAATCCCACAGGCACTGTTTTGCTTCAGCTAAAAATAAGCCAGACTACATTTTAAAAACTTCCTTAAAAACTCTTTTATTGACTTTTCTTAGATAGATAGAAAAACGAGTTGTTGTTCCACTCAATCATGCATTCATTGGTTGATTCTGGTCATGTGCCCTGATGGGGATCAAACCCACAACCTTGGCTTACCTGGATGATGCTCTAGCCCAGTGGTTCTCAACCTTCCTAATGCCACGACCCTTTAATACAGTTCCTCATGTTATGGTGACCCCCAATTTCATTGTTACAAATTGAACATAATTAAAGCAAAGTGATTAATCACAAAACAATTATATGTGTTTTCCGATGGTCTTAGGCGACCCCTGTGAAAGGGTCGTTCGACCCCCAAAGTGGTCGCAACCCACAGGTTGAGAACCGCTGCTCTAGCCAACTGAGCTACCCTGCCAGGGCAAAAAAGCTTTCTTAAAAAATCATATTTTGTTGCCAATGACAACCACACTTGTCCTTTTCTTCCATTCTCACTTCAGCTATTCTTTTATTTCCCTGAATAAAATTTCACTACAGCCCTGGCCAGTGTGGCTTAGTTGGTTGGGCACCCTCCCATGCACCAAAAGGTTGCCGGTTGGATTCCTGGTCAAGGCACATGCCCAGGTAAAAAACTTCACTACAGAAACCAACGGTGCAAAAGACCTAAAGTATGTTTTAACAATTCCTTTGCCCGCCAGGTGATTAAAGTTGGAAGACTGTCCTGGCCAATTGCTCAGTTGGAGCATGGTCTCACATCCCGAGGTTGCTGGTTCGGTTACCGGTCGGTCAGGCACATACAGAATGTGAACAATTGATGTTCTGTCACGTCTGTTTCTCTCTAGGATCAGTGAGCATATCCTCAGGTGAGGATTAAAAAAAAATTGGAAGTCTAATTGTCAGCTGATAAAAATTGCAATGAAATTGGTGAACCATGACTTAGTCATCCAGATACATAAATTTGGAAGCAGCCCTAGCCGGTTTGGCTCAGTGGATTGAGTGTTGGCCTGGGGACTGAAGGGTCCCTGGTTTGATTCTGGTCAAGGGCACATGCCTCGGTTGCAGGCTCAATCCCCAGTAGGGTTTGTGTAGGAGGCAGCTTATCAGTGATTCTTTCATCATTGATGTTTCTATCCCCCTCTCCCTTCCTCTCTGAAATCAAAATATCTCAAAAAATATAAATTTGGAAGCAAATTGCTCCATCTGAGATGCCCTTCCAGTTACCAAAGTATGTAGTATATTTACTTCATCATCCAGTTTTACTGAACAAAACTCAGTAAGATATATCCTTTATTCTTAAGGTATTACATGTGTTCTTATCCTCCCATTGCCCCCCCATGCCCTCACCCCCTGGTGTCTGTGTCCATTGGTTAGGCTTATATGCATGCATACAAGTCCTTTGATCTCTCCCCCTTAACCCCACCCTCCCCTCTGAGGTTTGAGCAATGCTTGTCTCTGGATATCCTTTATTACTAAGAGCTGAATCTCCGTAATATAATAGTACACAAAGATGAAAGGGATTTGAATTTGAAAGGGTTAGGCATTTTAAAAAATGGATTATCACTGCTAGGTTCCATTTAGGATTTTAATTCACTAGAAATATTGTCCTTTGAATTAAGAAAAGAATTTGTATAAATTTAAGATCAGGGGTTGGGGGGGCAGCCGGCATGGCTCAATGATTGAGCCTTGACCTATGAACCAGGAGGTCAAGGTTTGATTCCTGGTTAGGCTATAGCCTGGTTTGCAGGCTCAATCCTGTGGGGGCATGCAGGAGGCACTGATGAATGATTCATCATTGATGTTTCTCCCTTTCCCTCTCTGAAGTCAACACAAATGTATCTTTTAAAAAAGTTTGAGGGGGGTGGGTGTATTAAAACATTTGGGTGGTACTAGTAATGACATGTAATGCCTAGAGAACAGGGCCCAAATTCTGTACAGGAAGCAACCAGTGTTTTTCCTCTGAAAAAAATCAATAAAAACATCCAAGGATTAAAAAAAATGATTGAACTCAAAGGTATGGGACAAATTATTTTACTCTTGGTAAGCTTAACATTCACCATGGATACCAATAATTCTTACTTCATAACAGCAAAAGGGATCCCATGAAGCCCCAAGTGACTAAAGTGCCATCACAACATCTGATTTGAGTTCAACCAAATTCAATCCAAAATGAGCCAAGTACCCAAAACCATTAAGCTTGAATTTCCCCTTATGGGACACTAGTTTACTTCCTTCCCAAATAGAACAATTGCAACCACATGAATTGAACATACCATGATTTTATTGTCATATAATCAAACAAAATATGAAGCTTAGAACTGGATCACTTGGCCCTGCAATAGAAAAGGGGGAGAAAAAGTGAGTTTTTCTCTTGCAAAGAACCTCTGTTCCATCAAGTGTCTACTCCTGATAATTCTCATTCTCCCCCTCCCCGCTCTGGTGTGGCTCAGTGGTTCAATTCCAGTCAGGGTACATGCCTGGGTTGCAGGCTCAGCCCCCTTGCAGGAGGCAGCCAATCAAGATTCTCATCATTGATGTTTCTCTCTCTTCCTTCCTCTTTGAAATCAATTTAAAGAATATTTTTAAAAATTCATGTAAATTTCATTCTCCCTTTCTGCCAAACACCAAAAACCTTACACCTTCAGCTATGGATCAAGTATTTTGAAAGGAGTGCCCCTGATCTTGATGCCACAGAGTGGGCAGAAATACTCGCCTCTCCAAATATAATGAAGGTATAAAAAAGATTGCACCTCCCACCCCAAATTGTATACCTTTCTCTTCTTATCTCCTCCCAATTCAAAATGCTTGCATCTCTTAATAGCCAGCATTCTCTTAGATCTGCAGTTAGACTCAACGCATTCAAGCCTCAGCACAATCTTCTTTGTAGTTTTAGCCTGGAAAAGAAATTAAGTGATACTACTCATAAATCACTGCAAAAAATCTTTCTTCAAAAATATGACTGCATCGGGTTAACTACCTTAATTTGTCTTGGGCTAGAGAGAGAAAACATAAATGTGAAAATCAACATATTTAAGAGAAAATGTAATAGCAAAGGTGGAAGGTTATCTAATTACCAACAAGTTCTCCATTCACATCAGGCATCTTAGAGGACTTATCAAAGAGGCACTCATGCCACCTTGAACTTGTGGCTGTTCAGCAGCTTTACATAGTTAAATATTCTGAACAATCAAAAATGGGTCATCCAAATTCATGCACTATTAAATAAAAAATACTTTTGCAATTCTTTAAATAGGGTTAAGAACTGTTATGTAAGAAATTTGTGCATTCAACTGTTATTTAACTCAAGGTACACTCCACATAAATACTCAACTTTTTAAGCCTGCTCCTGTAGTCAGAATTCTGCTGCTAGTTTTGCAGTTCTCAAATCCAAAACCTAGCTAGAACCTCCCCATCTTCTAATCAAGTTACCTAAATGTGAAAAGGTAATCATTCCTTTTATCACTTTGCTATCAAAAATCACTTACTGCACCTAAAAGAACACTAAAGTCATTCCTTAATACTCTGAAACCAGGCAAAACGGAAGAGCAAAGTGCCAAAGCAAACATTGTTCGTGGGAATGCTCTTCTAGGCACTGTGTGTACTTTAAGGAATAGCCAAATCACCTGGAGGAAAAACAAACACATTCAGCCTGAGAATGCAGTGGGAGGTCTGAATGTCGATTTAAAGAGGCTTATGACTTCATGAGATAGATAGCAGATGCATTGCAGGCTTCTGAATCGAGAAGCAAAAGAACATTCTTACTGCCAGCAAGAACTGAGGCTTCACTAGGACTGATGACAGATAAAACAGGGCAAAGAAAGGATTTACTGGTATACTCAAACTTCAGTCCTTAGAAGGGCAGAAAACTTTCCTTAATTTGATGTCTGCCTCTTCAAAAAGGGAAAGGCAAAAAATATAAACACTGCAGCCATGGCCTGATAGCTCAGTTGGTTAGCATGTCGCTAGGATATGCCAAGGTCAGGCTGGATCCCTGGTCGGGCACATATAAAAATCAACCATTGGCCCTGGCTGGTTTGGCTCAGTGGACAGACCATCGGTCCTGGGTTCGATTCTGGTCAAGGGCACATGCCCGGGTTGTGGGTTTATCCGCAGTAGGGGGCACACAGGAGGCAGCCAATGATTCTCTTACATTGATGTTTCTATCACTCTCTCCCTCTCCCTTCCTCTCTGAAATCAATAAAAATATAGTTTTGTTTCTTAATCCTCACCCGAAGATATTTTTCCATTGGGTTTTTTTTTTTTTTTAGAGAGTGGGAGAGGGAAAGACAGAGAAACATTGATGTGAGAGAAACACATATGCATTCGCTCGACCAGGACTTGGGCTGGGGAGAAGCCTGCAACCGAGGAACATGCCCTTGACTGGAATCGAACCCAGAAGCCTTCTGTCCACATGCTAACGTTCTACCCACTGTACCAAACCAGCTAGAGCAAAATATATTTTTATAAAAATCAACCAATGGATGCTAAAGTGGAAAAAATAGATGTTTCCCTATCTCGCTCTCGAATCAGGAAATAATATATATATTGCAATGGCACAGTATTGTAGACAAACCTTAAGTTGTTGCACTCCCAGCTCCACTGTCTACTAAGTATGTCACAGCAGGTGACTGAGATAACTTCGCTGAAACTATGAAAACACATACCTATATTGTAGAGGTGTGTAGGCTAACAACAAATGCAAGGTCTAGTAAAGAGTCAGTGGGAAATTTGTCCAACAGTAATTACTACTCACCTTTTTTCGGAAAATCGGCTTAGTCTGCCCACCATAGCCACTTTGCTTCCTGTCATAACGCCGCTTTCCTGAGAGAAGTTACTTGTTACAGTATGCCAAAGTTAATAAATCACAACAGTCACATGAAAAAGTCTTACGGCTTTATCTTGGGTTTTCAAAAAGAAATATCAATGCCCAAGCAGTGGGGAGAGGGGAGGGGCCTACACAAATGCCACATTCAAACCAAATCCCATGCAAAAGACCATCTTACCCTGTGCATACAGAGAATCCTTGCCCTTCTTGTACTGTGTTACTTTGTGGGGTTGATGCTTGCCACACTTCTTACAGAAAGTTCGGCGGTTTTTAGGAACGTTCACCTAGTAAATAAACCGTCCAGAACGTGCAGTGTTACCAGATGCCAATGGCACAATGGCGACCCAGTTCACACTAAGGCAGCCCACGAGGACTCGACTCTCAAATTCCTGGCTAACACACCACTCACTAGAAGGTGGTCCAGTCCCATGTGCTTCACGTACAGCTGCTGCCTCCCACGAGCCCCAAAGTGGAAAGAGATCATATTCATGCCACCTCCCACTAAGTCTACTTCTTTGATCCCATTTCAATTCCTGGCCCCAAAGCCAGGTCCCTTCGGAATCGATCCCGGCAACACTGGGTTTCTTTGGTACGAGTCCACACAGAGGCCTGGACCTACCCCGGGATGGAACCTTTGCTGGGGGAGAGAAGATTAAACTGGATGTTTCTCTGCCCCGACCCCAAAGTCCTACCATGTCTGCGAGAGCTATCAGCAGGGAAAGGAAGATGATAGGCCGGAAACGGAAGTATATAGGAGGTTCCTGGTCGCGCTTCCTCATGGGAGCGACCATAGAGTCTAAGGCTCTGTGCGCTGCGCCGTCTGGTGGCTGAGAGGACTCTATTCGGAGCCGCGGAAGGGAGCATAGGGAAGGGCTCCCGCTAAGACTTCCTCCCGCCCCCTAGCTTTGAGACTTTTTTTCGCTTAATCACTTTGGCAGACGCTGATTCCGTGCAGAATTAAGTGAAGGAAGCAGCGCTCTTTCAGACACTCTGGCCTCCATCTCCCTAATGAAAGCCAGGACTAGGGTCAAGTGGAGGGGTCCTTCCCCTGCACGTCCCATTCCTGTTCCACCTCAAGGACACTGTGACCATCTTTTGCAGCCAACTTCTGGTTCACTGAGGGCTTGGAGGGAACCAATGCTCTATTGCATCCATTACATGGCCAGTTCCAATGCTTTGGGCACAATAATCAAATAATCATGCTCATAAATGTATAATTACAAACTAAGTACCTTGTAAAAAAAAAAAAAGGAACAATGACCAGCATTAAAGCACCCCTTTTTATTGAGGGAGCAAGTTGGCTGCCCTAAATTCTGAAAAGTGAGGATGAAATTGTTCAGCCCATGCAATAGCAATAATCAGGCCAGGAGATAGAAAATATCCAGCAGCTCTTCCCTTCCCTGTATACCTGTATGAACAAAAAAGAGGCCATATACTAAACCTGACAAGCTCAATAACCAAAAGTAACCACAGGATGGTCAGAACATAAAAATTCCTAACTGGACTAATTTAAGTTAAGGGGAAATGTTCAAAACACTATTCCTGGTTTCTCTGCAGACTTACTTCTTCCCCAGTGGCCCACCAATGATATCACTCCAAGTCTGAATGATCTGGCTGTGTTAGATTCTCTCTCCCTTTGTTTTGTTTTGTTTTGTTTTGTTTTTTACATGCAGCAATATTCGTGGTTTTATTTTACTCTCAGGTAGAGTTAACTGCAATCAGATTGTAGTAAGATTTATCTGAACAACAGTTGCTAATTTTAGGATTGGTTAAATGCTATGTCACTGACTATGTCTGGCTGTGTCCCAGAAAAAAATGTATATACACACTTTGAATAATTATAATTTGTTTATTAAAATACATTTCATTTTTAAAATTGAGCTATCAGCTGTTAAAGTGTGCATACATTTTTGGAGGACACCCTGTATTTTGTGACTTTGTTATACTTACTAAATGGCTTCCAGGATCTCCTTTTAATGCATTCCTTTAAGTGGTCCCTGGAAACATTGCTACCCATTTCCATCTTCTCTACTTCTTATTTGACAGAGGACAGAATAATTGGATATATGTTCACCTTTATGGCTACAATTATAGCTTTAAGTTTCTTTGAGTGAAATTGTTTAAGAGTGAGTAACCTCATATACCAAAATCATCCTCTAAATGATGGCGAACCTTTTGAGCTCGGCGTGTCAGCATTTTGAAAAACCCTAACTTAACTCTGGTGCTGTGTCACATATAGAAATTTTTTGATATTTGCAACCATAGTAAAACAAAGATTTATATTTTTGATATTTATTTTATATATTTAAATGCCATTTAACAAAGAAAAATCAACCAAAAAAATGAGTTCACATGTCACCTCTGACACGCGTGTCATAGGCTCGCCATCACTGTTAGAGGCTGCCCACATTCCTTGCCACATGGCCCCTTCCACCTTCAAGCAAACAGCACCGAATCAAATCCTTCTTGTGCTTGGATTTCTGACTTCTCTGGCTGTGATCTCTCTCTCTCTCTTATCAGCTGTTAAAGTGTGCATACATTTTTGGAGGACACCCTGTATTTTGTGACTTTGTTATACTTACTAAATGGCTTCCAGGATCTCCTTTTAATGCATTCCTTTAAGTGGTCCCTGGAAACATTGCTACCCATTTCCATCTTCTCTACTTCTTATTTGACAGAGGACAGAATAATTGGATATATGTTCACCTTTATGGCTACAATTATAGCTTTAAGTTTCTTTGAGTGAAATTGTTTAAGAGTGAGTAACCTCATATACCAAAATCATCCTCTAAATGATGGCGAACCTTTTGAGCTCGGCGTGTCAGCATTTTGAAAAACCCTAACTTAACTCTGGTGCTGTGTCACATATAGAAATTTTTTGATATTTGCAACCATAGTAAAACAAAGACATATTTTTGATATTTATTTTATATATTTAAATGCCATTTAACAAAGAAAAATCAACCAAAAAAATGAGTGCGCGTGTCATAGGTTCGCCATCACTGCTCTAGGTGCTGTTCAAGGTGGCTAGCATCTGCCCCAGGCTGTGCTCACCTAGCCATTAGAATTCCTGGAGCAAAAAGAGTAGAAAGCTCAGGGCAGGCAAAGCCAAGAGGAGGAAGATGTTTTTTAAAAATAAAGGGACATATGTAATACTTTCAACAATAAGAATTTTTAAAAAGTACAAAATAATGGGTACAGAATAGTCATGGGGATGTAAAGTACAGCATAGGAAACATAGTCAATAATCTATATATATAAAAGCCTAATATGCAAAGTGTCCCCTTGGGAGTTCGACTGACCAGGAGTTCGATTGCTCCCTATGACGTGCGCTGACCACCACGGGGTGACACGGAACGAAGGAAGGCCCCAGCCAGCAGCTGGTAGGCGCTAGGAACCCTACTCATGCATGAATTTTGTGCACTGGGCTTCTAGTATTATAATAATTATGTATGGTGTTAGATGATACAAGATTTATCAGGATGACCACTTTGTAAGTTATATAAATGTCCAATCACTGGGTTATGCACCTGAAACTATAGTGTACCTCAACTCTAATTCAAAAATAAAAAATAAAAAACATTTTAAAAATCCTTATCATATACACACACACACACACACACACACACACTCTAGAGGCCCAGTGCATGAAATTCGTGCACGGGAGGGTGTCCCTCATCCCTGCCTGCACCCTCTCCAATCCAGAACCCCTCAGGGGCTGTCCAACTGCCAGTTTAAGCCTGATCCTCTTGCAATCCAGGACCACTGGCTCCTAACCACTCACCCGCCTGCCTGCCTAATGCCCACAACTGCCCTCCCCTGCCAACCTGGTCACGCCCAACGGCCCTCCCCTGCCAGCTTGGTCGCCCCCAACGGCCCTCCCCTGCTGGCCTGGTCACCCCCAATGGCCCTCCCCTGCTGGCCTGGTTGCCCCCAATGGCCCCCCCCCGCCAGCCTGGTCACCCTCAATGGCCCTCCCCTGGAGGCCTGGTCACCCCCAACTACTCTACCCTGCAGACCAGTTCAACCCCAACTGCCCTCCCCTGCAGGCCTGGTTGTCCCCGGCTGCCCTCTTCTGCTGGCCTGGTCACCCCCAACTGCCCTCCCCTGCCAGCCTGATGGCCCCTAACTGCCTCTGCCTCAGCCCCCACCACTATGGCTTTGTCCAGAAGAAAGTCAGGGATCTGGAAGATGGCCAGTCGACCTGGTCTAATTAGC